TTGTCAAGCCAATCCAATTAGCAATTTTTGTTGTTTTTTTCTACGAATATAAATATATTGGCCATGCGGTTTAATTTTTAATCTTCACTCAGCCGAATCTGCAGTGAATTAGGGCGCGTCATCTTAGTCACGGACGGAGGGGTCGCGGAGGTGCGAGAGGGAGGAGGGACGGAAGAGGGAGGAGAGGGAGGGAGAGGGGAGAGGGAGAGAGAGGGGGAGGAGGGGAGGAGGGAATGGGAGAGGAGAGGGAGGAGAGGGAGGGGGAATGGGAGAGGGAAGGATGGGAAGGGAAGGAAGGGAAGGGAAGGAAAGGAAGAGAAGGGAGAGGAATGAGAAAGGGAAACGGAGGACGGAGAGGAGGGAGGAAAAAAGAGAGGAGAGGAGAGGAGAGAGACAGACGGAGGCGGAGAGAAGAAGGAGCAGGAGAGGGAGAGGAGAGGGAGGAAAAGAGAACAAAGAAAGGGGAAAGACAGAAAAAAAAAACAAGAAAGGGAAAGACAAAAAAGAAATAAAAAAAGACAAAGAAAGAAAAGAGAGAGAAACAGAAAGAGAGAGAGACTAAGAGAAAGAGATTCTACTCCAAATTTAAACGGCCCTAAACTTTCCCGCCAAAAACTCGAACGTGCGAACATCCCCAAAAAGAAGAGAAATCGAACACTTAAATAATAACAATTTCACACTTATAAATCCATTCTATCAATTAAAGCTAATATATTTTTAAAAATCTACGAATTAGAACAAACAAATCAAGAGGAAGAAGACACTATGACACATAATAAAGAAGAGAAAATAATATAAATGTCATAAACATAAGAGAAATTTGATATACATTATCATTAACATCATTTTCGACTTCATTAATAATTTCGATTTGTATAATTTTCCTTTGTGTTTTCTTTCTCTTCCTCTTCTCTCATGTTTTTTTCTCCCTCTCTCCTTCTCCCTTTCTATTTCCGTCTCCTTCTCTCTCCCCCGTTTATGAGTTTTTTTCAATTGTTTCTATCTTCATAGGTTACATTAACAGTTGGAATTTCCCTCTCTATCCTTCCTTTTCCCTCTCCCTCTCCTAATCCTTCCCTAACCCTCTCCCTCTCTCCCTTTCGTTTCTCTCTCTCTCTCTCCCAATCCTTCCCTAACCGTCTTCCTCTCTCCCTTTCGTTTCTCCCTCTCTCTCTCTCTATTCTCCCTCCCCTTTCCTCCTCTCCCCCCCTCTCCCTCCTCCCCCCTCCTCCCTCTTCCCTCCCCTCTCCCTCCTCCCTCCCTCCTTCCCCCTCTCTCCTCTACCTCTCCCTCGTTTTTCGCACTTTTCCCTCATTGGCTTTTTTCTTCCCAAACTTACACAAACATTTGACGCGATAGCTGAAGGCTATGTGGTTGAAGTTTGCCATTCCTTCTACAATCGAAGGGAGGGTCAGAGGAAGGGGGGGGTAGGGGGGTAGGGGGGGCTAGGGGTTGAAAGGAGAGAGAGTGTGTGTGTGAGTGTTTTGAGGGTTCGGGGAGGGGAAAGGAGGAGGAGGGGGGGAGGAGAGAAGTGAAAGAGGAGGAGGAAGGGGAAAGGGGGAAGGGGGATGAAGGAGGAGGAGGAGGAGGAGGAGGAGCGAGGGCGAGGAAGCGAGGAGGAGGAGGAGGAGGAGGAGGAGGAGGAGGAGGCAGAGAAGTAAAAGAGATGGGGGAAGGTTGATGGAGGAGGAGAAGTGGAAAGGGAAAGAGGAGGACGGAGGAGGCGGATTAGGATAGAAGACGAAAAAGAAAAAGAAACGGCGCGAATGAAGAAGAGAGGGGGAAGGCACGGAAGGACATAATAATGATAAAAGTGATAAAATAATAACAAAATAACAATAATAGCAATATAAATAATAATTGCAATGGCAATAACAATAACAATAATACAATAAAAATAATAGGAATAACATTAATAATAACTGTAATACTAATAATAATAGCAAACAAAAAACAATAACAATAATAATAACCCTGTAATAAATAACATAATACACAACACAAAACAATAAGCCATAAGTACCATGAACCATATCAGCATAATAAAATGAATTCTAGGAATCTAAAAACAATTTAACTACCATGAGACCGATATGCAAAACAACAATAGTGAACATAACCCAGGAACAACAACAAACAACAACAAAACAACAACAAACACGACTTCAAAATGATGACGAAAACACCAGTGGAAAGCAGAACAAACGACAAGAACCACAACAATAATAAAAAAAAAACATTCAAGAAGCTTTTGTGGTTTACTTAGAGTTACTGCAAGTATACTCTGCTCTATAAACCAGATAAGGCCACGGCGGGGCGACGGGCTAAACTTCTCACATTGGTGTGGTATGGAAGGGCGTGCTGCCCTTTGTGGGGGGGGGTGCCTGTGCGTGTGTGTGTCGTACTGTGTGCTGTGTATGGTGATGGTGTGTGTATGAGTGTGGTGCTGTGTATGGGTGTGTGTGTAGGAGGGTGTCGTGTATGGACGGTGCCTTGCTGCTGCCTATGGAGGTGTGTGGTGATCGGAGGTGTGTGTCGTTGTGTGTGTGTTAATGACGCTAGTGTGTGTGGCTGTGTGTGTGGTGTGTGTGTGTGTGGTGTGCTGTGTGTGTGTGTTGTCACGTTGTGTCGTGGTGTGGTGTGTGGTGTGCGTGGTGTGTGTGGTCTGCTGTGTGAGTTACTCCACAACCCCGCTCCGGTGAGTGTTGAGTGCTGCAGTGTCAATTGATGGAATCGCTGAGTGTCGATGGGCTACTGCAGTGTAGCGAGTGTGCAATCGAGTTACGCCCGACGCTCGTGCTGTGACCGTGGGAATGTGCCAGTTCAGCTCCAGTGGAGGTGGGTTCGTGAGTGCGCGACCTGTCGTAGTCCGCTGACGATCGATCGCCATCAAGTTCACGCCGCGCCCCCCCTCGCCCCGATGCAACCAATCAATCCTACCAAGAGAAATTGGCCGTTATATATATCCCTAACCCTTGTATGGCACTGTAGATGGTATTCAC